GTCGCAGCCTCCTTTCGTTGAATAGAAGTAGTTTGACCTCTTTTTCGCAACTTGGTCATATTGGTAAGAAGACTTAGAGGAATGCACCTTGTCCGGAGTCGATTGTATGCATAATCATTTCCAAAGTCGGACCGTGGACGTGGTAAATTCCCAGACATTTCGCCGGCATCGTCAGTGAGTTTTGCCATCCGTAGAACCATATTACAACTCGTCAAAGAGACAAGTAAAGCCGATATTTTGACTAAACGTGTGCTAAGCAGTTATAGTATCTCCCCTTTTGCTCTGGCATATGCACATTTCTTATATCCTCCTTCGCTGTCACAATTTTTTACTTGCTTAGTTAGATGTGGTACGGTGTGCCCTTTTGAACGGCCTTCATGAGAACCCTACGCACTCCACGCTGGCCATCTCACCCCCCTTCATCCTTGTGCTGGAAATGTTGATCAGAGTCTGCCATATTGTTACGCAGTTCTCCTTCTCTAGGTCTTACCACAGTCTCTCTCTTGCCCCGTAAGATCCGTCTGCCCTCCCCCTGGTTCACATATTTCACTCGACCCCTGCCACCCATCTGTGCGTCTCGAGGCGTTATTCGCCCTCCCCTGCATCTTGGTGACTAATTCGAGGCTATAGCCTCTGAGTAAATCTCATGATCACTCCTTTGCCACATGGACCATGTCTCTTATAAAACCTGGCAGCCCACTAGCTCCCATCGCCGCCACGCCTATCCTGTTTCTATCTCTAATACCAAGTCTATGACTTGCCATGCCCAACTCTATTGTGTACCAACCCACAAACGTTGTGGTTCAACATTGAACCTAAGCAAAGCAAGCAGTACCACAGCATTTGTGGGTTGGTACACAAGAGGCTAGGTATGGGAACTCAGGCTTGGTATTAGAGATAGATAGACGCAACGACGATGAGAGCTAGTGGGCTGACAGTAGGTTTTATAAGAGACGTGGTCCATGTGGCAAGGGCCTGGCCACGAGACTTACTCACAGGCTTTAGCCTAGAATTAGTCACCAAGATGCAGGAGAGGCTGAATAACGCCTCGAGTGGCACAGATGGGGTGGCAGGGGTCAAGTGAAATATGTGAACCAGGAAGAGAGCAGACGGATCTTACGGGGCAAGAGAGAGACTGCGGTAAGACCTAGGGAAGGACTACGTAACAATATGGCAGACTGATCAACATTCCCAGCACAAGGATGAAGGGGGGTGAGAAGGCCAGTGTGGAGTGCGGAAGATTCTCATGAAACCTATTCAAAAGGGCACACCGTACCACCTCTAATTCAGGAAGTAAAAAATTATGACAGTAAAGGCGTGATAGGATATATTAAATGTGAATAGGCCAGGGCAGAAGGGGAGATACCATAACTGTTTAGCACACGTTTGGTCAAAGTATCGGCTTAACTTGTCTCTGACGCGTTTTAATATGGTGCTGCGAATGGCAAAACTCATTGACGATGCCGGTGAAACGTCTGTAAATGTACTACGTCCACGGTACGACTTTGGAAATGATTATGCATACAATGGACTCCGGACAAGGTGCGCTCCTCTAAGTCTTCCTACCAATATGACCAAGTTGCGAAAACAAGGTCAAACAACTTCTATACCATGCTTGTTGTTGACTGATAATCTTAGCAGGTTTTTTTCTTGAACCAGACAGATAAGAGGAGGATCCTACGGAGCAAGAGGTAGATTCTGATAGGACCCGAAGGAAAAGGATTGCGGATTAAACCGCAGCCTTGAATCAACGCTCTCGGCACAGTGTGAGGGATGTGAAAACTATTTGGAATGTGAATAGGTTTCAAATGGGTTTATATAAACAAGTAATAAATTGTGACATTGAAGGGGTGATACGAGGATATAGGATAGAATACCCCAAGACAGGAGAGATACCACAACTGTTTAGTCGACAATTGGTCAAAGGATCGACTTCACTCTTTGACGAGTTGTAGTGTGACGCATAGAATAGCAACGCTCACTGATGATGCCGGCGAAACGTCTGGGAATGTACCAGGTCCAAGGTCAGACTAGAAATTATTAAGCATACTCTGGACTCCGGACTAAGTGCGTCCCTCTAGGTCTTCCTGCCAATATGATCAAGTTGCGAAAACAAGGCCAAACAACTTATAACCAAACTTGTATTTATTATTCTAATCGATGGCGTTATTTATATTCTCATCTAGTACTTAGATTTACATGAAACTAACAAAAAATAATCCTCACCTCACTTTGTTTACCTTTTTGAGTTAATATAACATGTAAAGTATATGTAGTTATTTCTGATTTAGTAGGAATGAGATCCAGCTCTGACGATGTCTGACAAATAGAAGAACGAGCTAAAGATCAGAGGAAAGGATTAAAGGATTGTGAATGGAATTTGTAGTTCAACTATAATAGAAGCTGGTCAGTGCAGCAATGGCTCTATGCCACAATATCACGATTTCCATAAAACCCAGAGCATGCGTGACTTTCAGAGCTAGCCTTGAAAACAATCTCATTATGCTGTTGATTGAGGTGGAAAATAGTTAGTGAATTGATCAAGATACCAAGGTCATAATTCACATGGTAGGCGAGATCAAACTCGTTCTGGCCAATATAGTTATAACATGAGCTAAAAATATATAGTTAAATATAATAGCTTAGCATTAAGGTCTACAATGGAATAAATTGTCGCAATTTTAAGGTGAGAGGATATAGATCTAAATATATATATATATCTAAATATAGAGCAGCATCCCGTCAGAAAATGTGATGCTTATTGTTCTCAAGCCTCACAAGTAAAGTTAGGTTACATTAAATAATACATGGCGAGCTTGATTATCCGTCACGCACTTGTCACTTTAGCTGATGAGGCCCAAGGTCCCTCAAGTTAAGAAGCAAGCCAGATGTATCGCCTATCCTATATTTTAAACTACAACATATGAACATCTGTCGATCACATGCAAGTTAATGAAAAGAGGTAAATAAGAAATTAAATGTAAATATATTCGGTGCCAGCTCAACTAAAAGTAGTAGTATTGCTTTCTATGGTATACAGGCAAATTTATAGGCAAAAGAATAAACTTCGTCTACTTGTATATTATTAAGGACTTTAACAAATGAATTGACGGAAAAGTCATATATGAGATAAACTGGAGAGAAGTGAGAAAGTGAGATGACATGATCGCAAAAATTAGACTGAGCTAGAAAAAGGTTATAATTGCGAACATCAAATGGCTTCGAACAAAGTCCACGAGACACTGGCCATTCCGACTCTACGAATAAGCCGAAGACTCAGCCCTCTCCAAAGGCCAAAAGGTCCATCAGTACGCAATATGTTCCACATTAAAGAGTACCAAGATAAGCGAATAGATCGGTCTGAGTTTATGATACAACTGGAAGGAGAAGAGGCGAACAGGAGCTGACGATGGAGTCGGACAACATCTGCAGGCTGAGTGGCTGCTGAAGCTATGCTGGCAGAAATCAAAGCACAAAGAGTGGGAAGAGAGCGAAATCCATTTAGTTCAGATGAAAAGTCAGATCCCATATCTTTCTCAGCAGAAATGAGTCCAAATGTAATTGGGGTCACTGAGTCTAAGAGACAAGAGTATATGAGAAGAATAAAATATAAACGAGACAATCTGAAAATATAATATTTTGAATTTTTCGCAAAACATAATAAAGATTATCGAAATGGGAAATTAAAAGAAGCCATATGGTTAAAAGTGTGGACAAAAATGCTTGAAGAGAAGTTTGGAGGTGCGACTGCTTCCCGTTGCCATACTACAAGTTCAAGCATTTAAGTCCAAGTACAACGGTTAATAGAATTGAAGAATTGCACTAGTCTTTCATGGACTGAACTTAGAAACTGGAATGCCTCTTAGGCTACTAGGAGTAAAGAAATACAGATAGGAAACCGACCGTAATCAGAAACAAACGAAAGCTGCTCCGATTATTTCCTTAAAACATTCGTTAAAATTCATATCATTACTCCAATCTTACCGACCGACATCAAGTCATCACAAAAATAATTTAATCGATTTGCCAAAAAATAGGAGCAAGATCAGTAAATAGTAAACAAGTGATGAAAATCTGCCGGTTAAAACCGCCTGGCACTTGTCTCAAGTTAGGAATATTTGGCGGCCTCGCCAAAGCATGACTTTTAACAAGGACAGGCGAAATGATGAAATAAAATAGCTAGAAGAATACTATGCGATTAGGATAGAAGAAACGAGACCTCAAATCCTGGGCTAGTTTATAATATTTAAATTTGAGATTCATTGATTTGACTTTAAGATTACATAAACCAGATCCTGCAGCATCATATCTTTGGTCAAGTATTTTGTCAGCATCATCAATGAGAACGAGACTGCACAGCAAATAACATTCAACGGCGAATAAAGTCATTTCATATGTTATATCTTCAAGTAAATGATCAGGAACTACCGCTTCTTAAACACACAATACAAGCAGTAAATATGCTAAGATTCACGCCCTCGTCCGTTCCGATAGAATTAAGATATCCCCAAGGTGGTTTAGTTGAGCATGCTCAGGCCTATCACCTGCCGTAAAGCTTGGTCATCTAAGCTCCATTATTGGAATCGTTCTCACTTTTTACTAATATAATTTGGCTTCAAATAAGTCACATTTTGTAGGCTTGTCAATCCACTTCTGACTCGAATAACCACTAGTTGGGCAACAATGCCCATCGGACACAAAAGATCGCTGACAACTTCGAAATGATAGTACAGTAATATCCCTTGATCATTTCTTGGAGGATAAAAAAAAGAATCCTCCCTTAACGAAAATTTTCTCACTGAGTAGTTATTAAGTTGGACCCAAACTTAAGTATATTCATTGGCAAGTCAGCATGTTTGATGAACCACTTTCGCCAATCCCATCTACAAAATAGCGTTAACTTGAAACTGCCAGGTTATAACTTCTCTTCGTATATACGTTTCTTCTTTGAAGTCAATCAGCCTGTCCCTAGCCAATGGCATAGCATAGTGCGTTCTTAGACTAAGTCATTTGAAATTAATTTGCCGGCTGCACGATAGTAGGGAATATTCTGAATTGCCTAGGAACTTTCTCAAAGTGCTTGCCTTGATTTGTCTAGACGATTTCATCTTGTCTTATGATCCCACTGTTCCTTAAGGATAGTATTATATTAGTCATGGACACCTCTGTCGGTGAGCATTTTCTTCTACAATCCTATAGTCTGATTTAACAGAGAAAAAGTGCAATGATTATTTCATATTCCGATTAGATTTTATTTATATAAAATATTAAGCACTGCTCCTATCTTGTTCTGGTATCCTTCACAGTTTAAGAGAATGGAAAAGTAGACGGTTTCAAAAAACTTCGTATCCATATAAAAGAGATGTCCTGGCCATGAGAAGGTAGAAAAGAGTTTTAGTTGGCGCTACTCACTCTTCATTGATATTGATTACCGGGAATGGGCACGGCCACTGTCACAATGCCGTAAGAACATCCTTTATCCGTGCTTACAATGTAGATAGAGTATTTTTTAAATACACTCCGGAAATATATGAAGGCTGAAAAAAATTATGTTCTGCAACGAATGCATTCAACCAAATTCTGTGGCTACTTTTGTATAATACCTTTATTGTTTTTTAGAGAAAGGTGAGCAGGAACTTATGCAAAACTAATTTGATAGGATGCTAGTTAGAGTTGACAGATTTATTTGTATATACAAATAAGCCACAAATAAACGACAAGCCTATGCAGTAAAAAAAGCATAGAGAAACTTTCTAACACAATTTCGATTGATATAAAACCAATAGTTGCATGGTACTACGAGCAAGATAGAGGCGTCAATGTGCCCGGACATATTTACATTTGGAGGTAATAAAACATGAGACCGAAATCACGAACTAGTCAGACTGCACAATTAGATAGCATAATAATAAGTTATTTCACCTCAACCACACCCTGTTGGTATAATCAACAAATAAAAGGAGTCTATATAGACATTAAAGTAACATTTCCATGTTTAAAATTAAGTGTCAACTGAAAAATATGGAGTAATCCGGCTTGCATGCTATTTCATTAAGTACTCCGTTATATATGGTGCTTAGAATATATGGCTTGCCAAATGGAGATTATGCTACAAATGATCAGCAATATCGTTAATAATAAAATGCGTGCATGTAACGATTACAAGTATTG